TAATTTTTGCTTAGTCACGTTGGGGGCCCCTGTAGTCCGGGGGCCCCGTATAATAGATACGGCAGATACGGCGCTAGCTACGAGCCTGTGCCGCAAGTGCAACTGTCGGGCAAGGAGTCTCGGGCTCGATTCTCGGGTCGGGCAAAGTATTACGGGGCTTTTAAAAAAAATCTTAGTAGTAGCACGGTTTCTGGAATTGTGCCCAGTATAATGGCAATAGGTTAACCCCCTATTACATGGGACTTGTAACATAAATAGTGAAAAATGAGTGTTACATTGTACAGTGGCATTAAGTGCCGTAATGTGCACCTGTCTACCCCTTCGGAGATAAAAGGCGTGATGTTGTGTATGTCAAAGGAACATATTCTTTACAAATTCATAATGCTGTGTAAATAAACAGTTATAATATATCACTTGCGGTTACCACTGTCCATACCTCATTCATTATGTGCTAAAGGACCCATTTCATACAAAACTGACACTTTGAGCGCATTGTAACGTTATCAGTCGTTCAGGTGTCGGAAAACGGAATTTTATAGAAAGGTCCTTCTGACCACAGAAGATAAGGGAAAAGGTAGGTTTTCTTTTGTACAAATTGTAATTGGTCCATCTTGACATCTACTAATAAATAGGTAATTATTATTTAATATCAAGTGCACATCTTCTTTACAAAGATATTGTAAGGAGGATGGTTGACACTTCAGGTGATCGAAGGGCTGGCTACTACCTTGGGCAAAGGTTAAGCATTGCCATTTAACGTGGCAATGCTGACAGTCTTTTGGGCGGACCTCACGATAGCGATGAGGAAAATTTTTTTGATGCCTTAATATAGCATTTTTTTTATTATTACTTTTTAAGGTGTAAATATTTTAGTTTTTAGTTATTTATATTTTAAGTTATATATATTTATTTTATTTAAATTCTTATTAATAAAGTAACATTAAATATGGAAAAATAAAATTTTCATCAATGATATTATCTATATATTTTTTATAGAGGTATAATTATGTATATTCGTGACTACTTTAATAATTAATTAATGTGAATTCAATTAATTGACGTTATTCATTTCATCAAACTCTCAATTTTATTTACATCCCATTGCACTTATATGTTTACAAATAAATATTGTTATTTTCTTTTTGAAGAGTTATGAATAAAAAGGCCGTATTGCACGAATATTACTATATTTAAATAATCAAAATAAGAATCAACGGTGAAGCCGGTACAAGTATTGTGTGGACATCGATCTAATAGAAAAGTTTTACATATTATGCGCCAGATGGCAACCTCACGCACTTCGTTCTATACCAACACCTCCCCTCGAAGTCGTGAGTAAATTTAATCTCCAGCCTTTACATACATTCATCCATCATACCTAAATTACGTAGACATTCATGATGCTTTGTCCCATTCAAACCCTTGGTCAAAACATCTGCAGGCATTCGATCAGTAGGTAAATATTTGAGATTAATTACACCTTGTTCGTACATATTACGAATAAAGTGATGCCTCACATCAATATGTTTAGTTCGTGAATGGTAGTTCTTACTTTGAGCCAGTTTGATGGCACCCTGGTTATCGTTAAATAACATTACACATTCACAATCAGTCCCGACATTACATAAAATATCTCGCAAGTACACAGCTTCTTTAGTAGCCTCGGACAGAGCCATATATTCGGCTTCTGTGCTCGACAAGGCAATAGTGCGTTGTTTACGTGCCTCCCAGCTAACAGGAGCACCTGCTAAAATAAAAGCAAAACCAGAATAGGATCTACGATCTACCGTATTTCCACCCCAGTCTGCATCAACGACTCCAAACAAAGGTAAACCTGTTCTTTCATACACTAAACCGTAATCTGACGTACCCTTCAGATACCTAAGTACACGTTTAAGAGCCTTCCAATGTTCAATATCATAGTTAGATTATCATAAAAAAATGTCTTGTGAGTAATGTTTAGGTACCCTTTAAGGGCCCCTAAACAATTTTTTATACGCTCCCCCCCCCCCCCAAGGAACGCTACGCTACTGTTGCGGCCACTCGGCCAATGAGGGAGTCGTATGTCGTATGAAATAAATCTTCAGTTTAATTGAATCCTAAATCAAAAAATTTAATGTTATGAAGAAAATTATCTATATAAAGTGTAATGAATAACGGACCATGTCACGTGACAGATGTCCATCGTGTCAATGTGTGTGTATTCTGCGTGTAAGTCTATAGTAGCCAGGTGCCACAGTCGTTGTTTCAAGAGACTATATCGGCCATTTTTTAACATCTTTTGATAAATCTAAACCTTTAACCTTTTTCATATTAATCATTTTTACGTGGAACATGCATTAATGTTTATATTAAAACTAACGTGAGACATACTAAATTAATTATTGTGTTTAAAGCTTAGGTACTGAGGTAACTGTTTGACGTGGAACTCGATAGTTTAAAACCATACTGGAAGCTCATATTCATGAGCAGCATTCCGCGACACCGGACGCGACGTTGCACTGCTACTATGATAATCTAATATGAGGATTATGAACTTCTAGCATGGCTTGAAACTAGTCGAGTTCCTTGTCAAACAGTTACAAAGTCAAAGTCAAAGCATTTATTTCAATTAAACCATAGTTTGGTACTTTTGAAACGTCAAATACAAAATAAATAATAGTCTGTCAGTCAGTCCGTCAATGAAACCAGGTGAAGCTAGGTGCTCATTCCAAAAAGTAGATTCGAATGGAGAAGAACGAACAAGAAACTCCATTCGTTACTCTTTATATAAAAGTATGTTCTACAATGTCTCTGATACATATTTCAATACTGTACGCATATGTAAGAACAATGCAAAGACACGCTTGACGCATTATACTAATAACTAATTAAAATTAAAAAAAATCTTAAAGTCTAACATGGTGCTCACATATGCATACTGACAATCCATAGAATTAGTGCTTCTATACAAGAAGAAGGAAACTCTTTGTTTCAATAAAGAAATGCTCGATGCCATAAGGAAACTAGATTGTATACATTAGAATTAAAGTGTTAAATTATGTTATGGCTTACGTGGGTAAGCCGAAAACATAATAATTAATTAAGCATCAATATCGTTTCTTTATAAATTCTTATCACGCGTTTACCATCACAGAACGAAGATAAAGTTCTATTTAAAACCTCTAGTTAGGCTTCCTTGCTCTGCCTGTAATGGCTAATCATTTAATCCGTCATTAATCCGCCGCGTTAAACTGAATGCCGTGTGTTTGTTCCCGAACTTAATTGACCTATAAAACCAATTCTATTACGAACTTGTAAAGATGGTGTGTTGTGTTCTGTTGGGTAATAATTATATTATCTATTTTTTTTAAGGGGGGAAAATCATCGAATGACTTCTCCCGCCTGGGTGAGGCGGGAGGGAGTGTCAGACTCTTACTGACTAAAAACCACCCCGTTCCTTCTCTTGCACGTCGAGCCGGAGCCCCGGTTACCCGTTAGGTTCTCCGTGACTCCGAATCGGCATCGGCCCTGTTGGGCCCCATCTTTGGTGGACTGATGGCTCTTTGAGGCGCTCGCCTCGGTATATTATCTACTAGCGACCCGCCCCGGCTCCGCACGGGTGCAATATGCATGTATTATACATATAAACCTTCATTAAGAATCACTCTATCTATTAAAAAAAACCGCATCAAAATTTGTTGCGTAGTTTTAAAGATCTAAGCATACATAGGGACAGACAGACGGCGGATAGCGACTTTGTTTTATACTATGTAGTGATACTTACAAATACTGCATCGTTGGTCTATTGGTCGCAAGTGCGACTGCTGGGCTGGCTCTCAGGTTTGATTCCCGGGTCGGGCAAAGAATTACTGGGTTTTTAAAAAAATTCTCAGTCGTAGCACGGAGTCTGGAATTGTGCCCGGTATATGGTAATAGGCTCACTCCCTATTACATGGGACTCATAACATAAATAGTGAAAAGTGGGTGTTACATTATGCAGCGATTATTGTACTGATAATTGAGTAGTTTCCAGGGTATCAAAATTAAAAATCGTATTAAGTAGCAAAATTAAGATAAAATGGCGCTAAGTTTAGGAGTGGGAGGTTGTTACGTAATAACGTGCTACAAAATGTGGCACGCTGTGACGTCACACGATATTTCAAATTAATATATCGTCGAAAGTATTAATTTTGTAAGTAAAGAAAAAATACGTGTCCAAAGTTTTAAATTAATGTACCAGACGGACATTGAAATAAAATTTAGGAAACTACCCTATTGAAAAATCGGCCCTGAGCCCTGATTCGACTGACTAACTAAATATTAGAGAAAACTTTAATACTGTTTACTTATAATTAAACAATTTTCGTATATTTCCAGGTCATCATAACTCTATAGAAGATGGACATCAGCAGAGTCATAATGATGGACAGCAATTTGAAGACTCACCATAATTACTCTTAATCAGGTGATGATACTTTTCAGTCAGGCTAAACTTGAATTGTTTTATATCCTACTACCTACATCGGTTTCACCCGTTCTACTCGGCTCCATGTCGTGGTGGCCCGGAGTTTTAAGACGCCCGCTTCTCATGTATGAGGGTGCGAGTTCGAAACCTACCAACGGCAAGTACTAATGTGACTTTTTCCGAGTTATATGTATTTTCTAAGATTATCTAAACACTACTGACAAACGGTGAAGGAAAACAAAGTGGGGAAACCTGGGCTCCTAGAACCGCTGCAACTCCTGTAAGCCAGGATCTACAGTAGATACAAGTACTTATTGAAAAGACCGGAACACCGAAGAACACCAGTTCCAGGGACATGAATAACCGTCACGAGTATCACTCTTACAAACTTGACATCTATTTGTTTCATATTTAGATTTTCCAACTCTATTCAAAATAGGACTGATAAACATACGTCTATCTCTTTCTCCCACAGCGAGTGAGAGCGCTGAGCGAGCGAGAGAGCGCGATGCATCCAGCCAGTAGGTGACGCTGTCGTCTTCACCCGCGGAACATGTCATGGGACTCCATAGAGTCGCGCGACTTCCTAGGGTAAGTTGTATTTTGGGAAGTGGTATGAGCAAGCATTAAAACGAGCCCAAACACAAGGTAACTGCTGTAAATCGTTGAGGAGTTCCCTCGACTGGCTTCTGACTCCATCATCAGATCAACTCGACATTCTTTGATGTGTGTGACCTACATTGAATGGGTGGCTTAAAATACTTGTTTGAAAATTAACAAACGCATTACTACTAAACGCAACTTGACCGATTGTTTCTTTTTTATGTGATAAGCCGGTAAACGGGCAGACGGATTACCTGATGTTAAGCAATCGGCGTCTCCCATGGACATCTGCGCCAGAGGCGTTACAAGTGCGTTACCAGCCTTTTAGGGATTAGGATTTTGAGGATTGTTGGGGATTCAGGGATTGGAGAGATTGGACAGGGGGGGGGGTCGTAGTGTGTGGGCTTTCCAATAATCGAATTAATTTTTTTTCTTACTTTTCTTTTCGCTGTACATTTTTCTTCCAAAACATTGCATTCATTAACGATGAAAGCCAATTCCTTAATTTTCTCATACCCAATATTGTACTGTTCTAAAAACCACCTTTTTTATATTTGATGGGCCGACGTTTGACCCCTACCTCGCCTGGTGGTAAGCGATGATGCGGTCTACGATGGAGCATGTCGTCCCTTAAGCAACATATTCACTCGGGCCTTGAAGACTCCTAAAACCACTGTATTAATGTTTATACCTCTATATATGTAGTTTAAACTTCATCAGTAGCAGATACTAACAGTAGCACTGTACAATTTCCAGCGGGGTGCCGGCTCACCAGCTGTCGGCGACACGTCTGCTGAGCTCACCTGATCCATCCAGACACCATCTCGATGAGCCTCAAGGTAATATGCATCACACGATGCTCTCTTTAAAGACGAGGTAGACAGAAATGCATAATGCCAGATGCAAATACTATTTTTCCACTCACGTCATGGTAAAAGCACAACATCGACTGCACGGTTGGCGCGGTGACTGAGCAACTGCCGCGAAACGTGTCGCGGGTTCGATTTCCGCACGGAACATTTCTTTGTGTGATCCACAGATTGTTGTTCCGGGTCTGGGTGTTATGTGTATGTGATATTGTATGTTTGTAAACGCACCCACGACACAGGAGAAAATCCTAGTGTGGGGCAAAAAATAATAATAAAAAAACAGATTTTTTTACACAGAACTTGATACAGAACTACCTTATGCTAGCCAAGTTGATATTTTTTTATACCACGACAGTGGTAAGAAAGCACACGGCCCACTTGATGGTAAGCGGTTACCGTGGCCTATGTACGCCTGCAACTGAGATTTTTTTTTTAAATCCCAGTAATAATTTGCCCGACCTGGGAATCAAACCCAGGACTCCTTGTCCGGCAGTCGCACTTGCGACCACTCGGCCAACGAGGCAGTATGGGAGGAAATTCCTTCAAAACCGAACTGTACGGAATCATTTGGGATCCAATGTGTGAGCGTGAACTCCCTGTCGATAGCGAGCGGTGCGATGATAGAAAAGTAATAGTAGTAATAAATCCAGTCTTATATTTTTCGGTGTGGGATTAGTCCGCTACTTAATCATATTGACGACACGATTCACATTAGCTGTTATGTCAGTTATAACAGATTTTCCTAAGAAATAAATTACGTACAGTTAAAAAACTCCTACATATACATCAACAGCCTATAACTATAAATGCCCACTGCGATCAAAGCTTCTTCTCACACAGAGAAGGTTTGAGCATTAATCGCCATGCTTGCTCAATGCAGGTTGGCGCTTTCAAACTTATAATTAGAAATTATAAGCCCAGGTTTCCTCACGATATTTTGCTTCATCGTTGTCAGTGGTGTCTTAATAATCTTAGAAAGTACATGATATGGAAAATGTCACATTGATACTTGCCGTTGGTAAAAACTAATTAAGCCTAATTTGTGTAAACCTTGACTGCCTCGTTGGTCGAGAGGTCGCAAGTACGACTACCGGCAAGGGGTCTCGGGTTCGATTCCTGGGTCGGGCAAAGTATTACTTTTTAAAAATTCTCAGTAGTAGCACGGAGTCTGGAATTGTGCCCGGTATATGGCAATAGCCTCACCCCCTATTACATGGGACTCATAACACAAATAGTGAAAAGTGGGTGTTACTTCTGTATGCACGTCTGACTACCCCTTCGGGTATAAAAGGCGTGATGTTATGTGTAGGTGTGTAAACCTTATTAGGTTTAAGCAGAAAATCTTCAGGAAACGTGTGCTCACATAGCTTCTTCTCTTATTTCAATAAATTGATTTGACTAACAACACTTAACAGGTTTACTAGTCAACTGACGAAAACTAAATCCTGATTTAACCAGTCATTTTCCCTTTTTAGAAGTATACCCTTTCTCCGAGGACTTCCGCAGCGGTGCGGCCGGCGGCGCCGGGTCCGCTCGTAACGGCACGTTGCGGTGGGGCTCCCGGTTCGGACCGGCGCACCGGCCGCCGGCTGCCGGACTACTCGACTGCTTCAGAGCTTGCAGGTCTAGACTGGACCAGTATTTGGCGAGGAGGAAGGTAAAAAAAAAACAAATTATGCATCACTACTTCTTGGAGATCCTAATTAAACAGGTCATCCGTCATCAACAAGTCTTGCTACGATAGGGCAAGCGAGCAGACCGATCACTTAATGGTATGGGATCAGTGGCGTCCATGGGAACCTGTAAAACTAGAAGAATTACGAGCGCGTTTTTTTATACTTTATAGGTCGACGTATGACCACCATCTCGCCTGATGGTAAGCGATGATGTGGCCGACAATGGAGCACGCCTACCTATGAGCAACCTGTTCACTCGGGACTTAAAGACACCCAAGTCATATTTGACGGGAAACGTTACTGCGGCGGTTTTGCAAAAAGGAGAATCGTACGCTCGTTTATGGAAGTCAAACCATTTTTGTAACGGTGCAGAAATGACACACACACACACACACACACACTTCATTTCATAGTTGTTGTAGTGTAGTGATAATAAGGTTTTTTGTAGAATAAGCCGGTAAACGAGCAGACGGATCACCTGATGGTAAGCAATCGACGTCGCCCATGGACGCCTGAAACGCTAGAGGCGTTATAAGTGCGTTACTGGCCTTTTGGGGATTACGAGTTTGAGGATTGTTGGGGATTCAGTGATTGGGGAAGTGGGTCTGGGTCGGAGGGTAACCTCACTACATAACGAAACACAACGTAAGCGTTACTTCACGTCAGTTTTTTTGCTCGGCCGTGGTATCATTCCGGTCGAGCCGGCCCATTCGTGCCGAAGCATGGCTCTCCCACACTCAAGGCAAAAACTAAAAGTAATTCAATACTCCATTTTAACTAACTATTTCTCCAGATCGAGCGTGGAGTCCGTCTATACGGGCAGAACGAGCAGAGGCTAGCAGTGAAGGTCTGGCTCTCCGCCCTCCGAGGAGTGAGGCATCGGAGTGACAAGTTCGCATTGTTGGGACATCTGTACCAGGCCTACATGGACTTTGGGAAGTACAGGTAAGTGTGGATTAAGATTTATTATCATCATCAAGAAAGTCTGATAGCAACCATTGGTGCACGGTGGTTAAAAAGCCGATTGTCAAGTATGAGCGAGAGGTTCTGGTATAAGTAACATTTTTAATTTTATTTATCAAGTTATTAGCTTTTACCCGCAGCTTCGCTCGCGTCACAAAAGGATAAAAAGTAGCCTATGTGACTATCCATCCGTTCAACTACCTTCAGTTAAAAAATCACGTTAATTAGTACCTCCGTTCTGCCGTTTAAGACAGGCAAACAAACAAATAGCTTTCCGCTCGCGTGGAATTCGGTTATATCGCGATATTTAGATTTTTCCAATAAGTAGGTACTTAATTCGTTGACTGGTTTTAAATGACATACGCCATCTATACCAGTACATACAGCGCCTTCTATACTAATATTTGTGTTTTTCCTAGGAAATATACACATACCTTATTATTTAATCCAGACTTCGAACTTTACGTCTGCAAAATTTCAAAGCAATCGGTCTAGTAGTTACGGCGTGAAGGCGGAACAAACAAACAAATAAACAAACTCACTTTCCGATATAAGTAAGGAACTAGCTTTACCCGCGGCTTCGCTCGCGTCACAAAAGAATAAAAAGTAGCCTATGTGACATATACCAATACACACAGCGCCATCTATACCAATACTTTTGTTTTTCCTCGGAAATATTAATTTTTTCCGGGTTAAAAAGTACCCTATTATTTAATCCGGACTTCTAACTTTACGTCTGCAAAAATTCAAAGCAATCGGTTGAGTAGTTACGGCGTGAAGGTGGAACAAACAAACAAACAAACAAACTCACTTTCAGATTTATAATATTATATATAATATATATAATATATATAATATATATATATATATATATATAATATATAATATATTAGTAAGGATTAGTAAGGATAAGGAATATAAGTAAGGAAGTAAGGATAAGGATACGCAAGTACATTCACCAATGAAGAGATCTAAGTTCGGAATCTGGGATCCGTAACGAGGTGATTGAATCGAATCCAGCAAAACAGTTGTCATAACCATCTATATACCTCTATATATAACTCAAGGGTGATTGACTGACTGACTGACATAGTGATCTATCAACGCACAGCCCAAACCGCTGGACAGATTGGGCTAAAATTTGGCATACAGATAGATGGTATGACGTAAGCATCCGCTTAGAAAGGATTTTGATAATTTCCACCCCCAAGGGGGTAAAATAGGGGATGAAAGTTTGTATGAAACTTTGTCAGTTTTTAACCGATCGGGTTGAAATTTGGCATGCAGATAGATGTTATGACGTAAGCATCCACTGTGAAAGGATTTTGATAATTTCCACCCCCAAGGGGGTAAAATAGGGGATGAAAGTTTGTATGAGACTTTGTCAGTTTTAAACCGATCGGGTTGAAATTTGGCATACAGATAGATGTTATGACGTAAGCATCCGCTAAGAAAAGATTTTGATCATTTCCAACCCTAAGGGGGTAAAATAGGGGGTGAAAGTTTATATGAAGCTTTGTCAGTTTTACACCGATGCAGATGAAATTCGGCATGCAGGTAGATGTTATGACGTAGGCATCCCCAAGTAAGGATTTTGATTATTTCCACCTCCAATGGGGTAATGTAGGGGATGAACGTTTTGAATATTATGACGTAAACGTCCCTTTTGAAAGGTTTTTGAACATTCTCACCCCAAAGTGGGTAAAATAGGGGGTGAAAGTTTGTATGATACTTTGCCAGTTTTAAATTGATCGGGCTGAAACTTTGCATGCATAAAGTTACTATGACATAGGTATCTCTTTAGAAAGGATTTTGATAAATTCCACCCCTAAGGGGATAAATCCTCTTAGCCATTGAATTTAGATTCATTGAATCTTTTTGAATTATCGGTGAACGATGATTTGGGACCTAGGTAACGTTTGATAGTTTCTATCACAGATGTCCCACGGGAACGAGAACTATGCGTCAATGCCCCAGGACTCTCTAACTCTTAACCACTGAACTTATTTTAGAGAGATTCGGTACAAGAATAGTCGATAGAATAGTTTTTATTACTCAAACCTTACGTGATCGGGCACTGTACTGGTAAGATCCCTGCGGGATTATTTATTTATTGAAACTACGATAAATCTTTTCAAAATAGGTAAATCTTACTTGGGCACTGAATTGATTCTGATTAATTCTGTCAGAAGTCATTAATCTACGCGGACGAAGTCGCGGGCAACAGCTAGTTTTTCATAAAGGACACATCAAATCTGTTTGCCAAGACGCTTTAGCAGTTTAGGATCTCTAATAAAGTACCCAGACAATGATTGGTTCTAGTACCCCACGCCTCTATTATATACATTAATCTAATAATGAGTTTAATTCACAATTTGAACCAGGCATTTATTATTTCTTTGAATGAATCTATAACAGTATGTACCTACATTTTTTTTAAGGGGGTATAATCATCGAATGACTTCTCCCGTCTTGAGTGTCAGACTCTTACTGACTAAAAACCACCCCGTTTCTACTCCTGCACGTCGAGCCGGAGCCCCGGTAACCCGTTAGGTTCTCCGCGACTCCGAATCGGCATCAGTCTTGGTCCCCCATCCGTGGTGGTCTGAGGGCTCTTTGACGCGCGCGCGGAACGCAACGCGCCGTACGCTCGAGTCTGGTTCTGCTACCCATGCTCGCCGTCCGCAGGCCCGCGCTTACGGTGGCCGGAGATCGTCTCGCGATCCCCGACGCCCGGAGTGTCCTTCGCGATGGCTGGGTTGCGAGGAGGCAGCGCTTCGCTGCCTCACGCGTCCCGCCTCCTCCTTAGCTAGCAAGACTGCTTCGCAAAAAGAGGATACGGCATCTCAGTCCCCTAAAAGAATGCTTGAGGCGTGATCTATAATCGACATCGAAGCCAAAAATATGATTTTTAGAATTTTTGTCTGTTTCTCTGTATGTATGTTCGGGATAAACTCCAAAAGTACTTTATGGATTTACTTCAAATTTTTCATGAATATTACTAACAGGTCGGTTCAACATATAGGATATATATTATCACGCTATCATAGTCGGGCGAAGTCGCGAGCACAGCTAGTCAAATATATAAAAAAAATATTCATATTCATGTAACTCATATTATAATTATTATGTTTTCATTATTTCTTAACACAATAGTATCGTAGAACCACAAAATATCAACATCGTACTTTATATTGTACTCTCTTACTACGCATTTTTGGCACGATACCAAAAAAGTAACGTTCATTTTATGATAGAATTTTATCTGGAAACCAGCCAAGGGAATAACATTGTCTAAAGTTTTGATTTGATTATTGTATTGTAAGTTTTTGTATAGTATTATGTCGTGTCTCGTATTCGGTGAAGGACTCGCTCCCTTATCACATGTGACGTAAAATATTACTTACTAGCTTTTACCCGCGGCTTCGCTCGCGTCACAAAAGGATAAAAAGCCAGTGACATATACCAATACACACAGCGCCATCTATACCAATACTTTGGTTATCCCCCGGGAATATCACATTTTTCAGCGATAAAAAGTACCCTATTATTTATTCCGGACTTCTAACTTTACGTCTGCAAAATTTCAAAGCAATCGGTTTAGTAGTTACGACGTTAAAGTGGAACAAACAAACAAACAAACAAACAAACTCACTTACCGATTTATATTATAAGTAAGGAAGTAAGGATTAAAGACGAAAATTGGGGTGTTTTTAAGAACCGCTAAGGAATGGAATTCCTTGCCAGAGGCTGTGTTTCCCGTCAAATATTACTTGGGTGTCTTCAAGTCCCGAGTGAACAGATTGCTCATAGGTAGGCGTGCTCCATCGTCGGCCACATCATCGCTTACCATCAGGCGAGATGGTGGTCAAACGTCGACCTATAAAGTATAAGAAAGAAAAGAAAGAAAGAAAAATAATTTATTTGGTACAACACCAGGCACAAACACAATACAATAAATACAATGCAAACAAAAAATTAGGAGTGAAATAAAAAAAATTAAAAAAAGAAAAACAAAAATAGATGTAGGTATATACAAAAATTTAAAAGTCAAATATACCCAACAATAATAATCATGTGCCCGACAGCTGCACCAAAAAAGGTCCAGTTCATACATGCCAGACATCTAGTGCCTGACGCTGGTTTTTCAACTGAACCTGTGGCAGTGACGCAACGGACGTAAAGCAGTAAATGCAGAGTACGTGTGAAGTGTATATTAAATATTATTAAAATTTATATAGATATACCATAATACATACATACATATAATAATAGGGTATAGTAATTACACAAAAAAGATTTATTAAATATGATTAAAATTATATTGCGTGTGTATGAACAGAATGCACGGGTACATTATATAATTGAGGTATTCTGCACCACCATATCAAGCCTTCGCTGTGTATCGATGAGGTATTTTCGCAAGCGTCTTCTAAATGCACCCATTGTAAAACCATGAAAAAAAAAAAAACCATGTTTCTTCCGTTAATCTGTGTTAATATCTTAACTATAGATCCCATAGACCTTGTTTCCAAAGTTTACATAGATCCCCAAGCAGTCACCGGTGACCGCTCTCCACTAATATTACATTACATAATAGACCTTATTTCCAAAGTTAAGAGACTACTTTTGTATGACCAAATTTAGGGGATGGATTTCAACGGGTTAAGTACGTATATCAACGTGCAAGTCCATTACTGGACTGTTGGTCTCCTCTAAATAGTTTTTTTATGGAATAATCCGGTAAACGAGCAGACGGATCACCTGATGGTAAGCAATCAGCGTCGCTCATGGCCACCTGGAACACTGGCGTTACAAGTGCATTACCGGCCTTTTGGGATTTGTAGTTTGAAGATTGTTGGGGATTCAGGGATTAGGGAAGGGGGTCTGGGTAATTGGGCCTCCGGTAACCTCACTCACACGACGAAACACAATACAAGCGTTGTTTCACAATTTAAATATGCTGTTTGACGCTAAAAAAACGTGACATCACAATACACAATCTCGTACAAAATTCATAGAAAACTGTAGTTTTTGACAGTTCGAAAAAAGTATTGTTTTTGTTGTTGTCAAATACTATATTGCCCGGCTAACCGTGCAGTCGATCACATCTCATCTGTTATCCAATTTGTCTCTTTCAGAGAATCACTGGAGTTCGCAAACCGTCAACTTGGTATATCTGAAGAGTTGGACTCCGCTCCGATGAGGGCTGAGGCCTATCTGAACCTGGCCAGAGCTCACCAGACCCTGGGTGGACTTGACAGGTAGATGATTTAAATCTTACGATATCAAACAGAGCAATACTAAAAATAGAAATGGAGGATCCTCCAATCAGGCTTAAAGTGCTTGTAGCTGATGCCTAAACATTTTACTTAATGGAATTGTATCGGGTCACTGAGCCCTCGTAGTAAGTAAGAAAATAATTTCTATACGTATTAATTAGAGCACAAACTTCACAAGAACTATGTAGTTAGATCACCACATCACCAGTTATTTTAAAATCTTACTAGCTTTTAGCCGCGGCTTCGCTCGCGTCACAAAAGCATAAAAAGTAGCCTAGTGACATATACCAATACACACAGCGCTATCTATACCAATACTATTGTTTTTCCTCGGGAATATCAATTTTTCCGGGATAAAAAGTACCCTATTATTTAATCCGGACTTCTAACTTTACGTCTGCAAAAATTCAAAGCAATCGGTTTTGTAGTTACGGCGTGAAAGCGGAACAAACAAACAAACAAACAAATTCACTTTCCGATTTATAATATTAGTAAAGATAGTAAAGATAAAGATTAGAATCTTCACACTTCCAGACTCCGCGTTATTACTGAGACATTTACGTAAAACCAACGCCCCATAAAACATGTTCAACCTAAGATTAGGGATTTGAGGACTGGGAGATTGGGGATGGGGATGGGGAATTAGGCCTCTGGAACCTCACTCACACAATGAAACACAACACAAGCGTTGTTTCAAACTGGTTTTTTGTGAGCATAGCCATGCTCACTGGGAGAGCCCTCCCGCACTTAAAATACCAAATTACTTAGATGCTACACATGGTTGCGTTATTTTAAAATCGTAATTCTTCTTCCAGAGCCCTCTCCTACGCTCGCCAGGCTCTGTACAACGACTGCGGCGGCGGTTCTACAGCTGGCTGTGTGCATCTCACTGTAGCGGCCGTTAGTCTGGAACTGGGGGCATTCTCTAAAGCTATGGACGCCTTCCAGAAAGCTCTGGCTGTGGCCCAGGCGCAGAATGATAATACACTGTTACTTCAGGTATGATAAGAGATATTTGATGTTGATATTTAGCAGGTGAAGGGGATTTTAATTTTGATTAAATATTTGTTAGGGACTTTTAAGTACTTACCTTTAAAATTCTGCATGGTGTCTTCTCCTAAGAAGATTTTAAATAATTATATTACTGTTTAAATGAAGTGAAACAAGTGAATTTATTTCTGCATATAGGCTACAAGGCAGCACTTTTACACGTCAATTTTATCAAGCGAACGATGAGGTCGACATTTCCTAACTGACTACTCTGAGAAGAAATGCCGAAACAAACTCAGAGGTCCGTCTCTTTTAAAGTCCAGACAATATGTATAATAGATTATGTGTGAGAACCGTGCAAGTTCTTTCTGTAGTGGCCTTTTGAGGAAAGAACCACAACAGTTTGAGCGGACCGTTCTGAAGGCAGTACGCATGTGTCGGTTTACAGTCAGCTCAATCGACAGGTGAGGCTGACTGATTCGACGAATAAATATCATTCACTGTTTGAAATCGAACTAAAATGCTTGATAAAAAAAACAACACAATCTTTGGACTCCACTGCAGTTTTTGCTAACATTCAAGGTCGGGGTTTACTCATATTATAAAAAAACAGTTGCAAAGCTCCAAAAACCTTACGTAGCCTCAAAAAAAAATGTTGTCCGGGATTTTTTTAAGGGGGGAAAATCATCGAATGACTTCTCCCACCTGGATGAGGCGGGAGGGAGTGTCAGACTCTTACTGACTAAACACCACCCCGTTCCTTCTCCTGCACGTCGAGCCGGAGCCGCGGTAACCCGTTAGGTTCTACGCGACAACATAGGGGATAACTCCGTATTTATCTAATTGGCTTCATGTGCCACTGGTTGAAACTATAACATCAAATTCCTTCTCCTAGGTATACGTAGGTCTATCAGAGCTCTGGCGTCGTCTCCGCGACGCCGAGCGTGCAGTAGCGTGCGCGGCGCGCGCGTGCGACCTCGGCCGCGGTCCGCGCGCTACTGACCTAAACACGCGACACCATCGCACTGCGTTATTGCAAATGGCCGCCGCGCTCAGAGCTAGGGGGGAGCTGGGAGATGCGCATGATTATTGTAATGTGAGTATCAGAAGAAGAAAGAAAGAGAGAGATAGAAATATTTTTTATTATATTTTTTAAGCTTTTGTGGAATGCTAACAATTCTTCTTTTTTCTTCTTGTTTTAACAAAACATTATACCACGCTTTTTATATCCGAAGGGGTAAGCAGAGGTGCGCATTACGGCACTCAATGCCACTGTACAATGCAACACCCATTTTCACTATTTATGTTATGAGTCCCATGTAATAGGTGGTGAGCCTATTGACATTTACCGGGCACATTTCCAAACTCCATGCTACTACTGAGAATTTTTAAAAAATATCCAGTAATACTTTGCCCGACCCGGGAATCGACTCCGAGACTCTTTGCCCGGCAGTCACACTTGTTGACAACGAGGCAGTTAGCAGCAGTCTTCTTGTTTTAATGATAAAGAAGTAGATGGGTCACCTGATGGTAAACAATCAGTGCCATCTATGGACAATCGCAATGGGAGTGACAAGTACGCTTCCGACCTGTGGTACGATCTAAGGGAGTTACAATTGCAATGCTGGCCTTGAGGAGAGATGAGACTCTTAGTAGCCTTTCGTACGGTAAAACACAAGGCTCTGTATATTTCACGTTGGTTTTCTGTGAAGCCATGGTATCACTTTGGTCAAGCTGGCCTATTCAGAGCCAGGTTCTTCCAAGTAAATAATATAACCAGTAGATCTTCAATTTGGTTTTCTTAAACTGACCAAATAATAAAATAGCCAGAGTATATAATTTTTAATGGCATAAGCCGGTAAACAAGCAGACGGATTACCTAATGGTAAGCAATGGCGTCGCCCATGGACACCCGAAACACCAGAGGTGTTACAAGTCCGTTACTAGCCGTTTGGGGATTAAGAATTTTAGGATTGGGAGATTGAGGAAGGGGGGTAATTGGGCCTCCGATAACCTCACTCACACGACGAAACACAATACAAGTATTGTTTTACTTCGTATTTCTGCTCGGACGTGGTATCACTTCTGGCGAAGCATGGCTCTCCCACACTTAAAAGGATTAAATATATGTTTACCCCAATTTACAGGAGGCATTACGACTAGCAGCAGTGGCAGGAGATCAAGGATGCTATGCGCGCGCTGTACGCATCGCAGGCGATGTCTACCGGAGGAAATGTGACATCGGTAAAGCATTGAGGTACATATTTATTTTTTAAATATCTACAAGTTAATTTATAGTGATTGAAATACATAATACACGTTAACGTGAGAACCTAATTTTTATTCCTTTTTGTGTAAGTTAAAGAAGAGATAAAACGTAGTTAACAAACAATAAAATAGATTTAACATGCTAATTATTGATATGAAGACTAAGAATCATGTTTCTGGCGCCCAACATGGGTCAAGTGGTCCCACGGCGGGCGCCAACTTTTCTGCATCAGCAGCTGTAGCCAAATGCCCTTTAGCGCTTATAATGCCATTTAGCGCTTGTCTACATGTAGAATAGAAAACCAAATTATATGGGATTGACGTAAATTTTGACCCTTGTCAGTGTCATTCCCATATATTTAGTTTTCTAATCTCTCTGTAGACAAGCGCTAAAGTGGCGTTTGGCTAAAGGCACAGATTAGAAGGAAAAACCTACGAAAAAAACAGCTGTTTATTAGAACTTCTAACTATAACATTTAAACTGTCAAACACCGCGAGGACACCGGTGACCGCAACCTATTGTTCTTTAAACTGTCAAAGACCAAGCGGTCACCGGTGACCGCGACCTATTGTTCTTTAATTGTGTCTATAAAACCGGTACTCGACGAGTTAATTGTGTCTATAGTGACGGTACTCAACGAGTTAACTATCTTTTGACTGCACGGTTGCCGTGGCTGTGCAACTGCAACGTGTCGTGGGTTCGATTCCTACACGGAACAACTATTTGTGCGATCCACAGATTGTTGTTCCGAGTCTGTGTGATGTGTATGTGAACTTGTATGTATTAAAACGTACCCACGACACAGGAGAAAACAGGGGCAACGTTTTTTTACGAAAAATATCTTTTATATAGAGCTTAGAAAAAAGCTTATATGCCCATTTTTACTACTTTTATTTTATTTAAAAATAATTTTCAAGCAAATTTAAGCTTTAGAAATTCAATAATATTATCAACAGACACTACGAAGTAGCAATGGGTGCTGGCCAGGCACTGGGCGACCGGCTCGCTCAGATGGAGGCAATGGACGGCGCGGCGCGATGTCTAGAGGCGCTGAGACTACAGGGCCGGATCTGTAACTGTAGACCGCTGGAGTTTAATACTAGACTGCTTGAAGTTGCTACTTCGGTTGGGGCTAAGGTAAGAATCAACATGACTTTTTTTAAATTATTATTCAAAACTTCTGCAGTCTTGGATGAGGTGAGAAGTAGTGTCAGACTCTTACTGACTAAACACCACTCCGTTCCTACTCTTGTTTTTTTGAGCCGGACTGAATTTTTTTCTTATATAATCTGTTAAGTCTTTACTAGGTACTTAGAGGTGTACCAGTATTTTACAGGCTTGTACCACCAGCCTATTATTATACAAAAAATATTCGTTACAACGAAGTCAAACTTTTGTTACTACATTACCATACTTAGGGCCGATTTTTCAATCATCAGTTAATTTTAAACTGTAGCATAAAATTAAGTAAATAATTCTAAACTGTAGAATAAAGTATGGAAAAATTGTCAAATACGGTAACATGGGGTGAATAGGGATCAAGCTGTGAATAGGGACAGAAGAGGGGTGGATCGATACTATGAAGAATTTCCCAAAATCTTCTGACCCCTCTTCCGTCTTCATTTACCTCTTGATCCCTATCTACCTCATTTTACGGTATTCAAAGTTTATGTTTAACTGGCGTTGGAAAAATCGGCTCTTATTATTATTATCTCTTTGTGTTGGATCAATATAAATTATTTTCGTACCTGTTTGGAAAGGTTCTCTAGAGTCATTGGTCAACAATTATTTATAAAGAGGTAACCGATTACCCTTAGGAATGTATACCCCTTGTGAAATAACCTGCAGCTGTAGCCAAATGCCTTTTAGCGCTTGTCTACATGTAGAATAAAAAACCAAATTATATGGAATTGACGTAAACTTTGACATCAGTGTCATCCCCATACATTTTGATTTCTACTCTCTCTGTAGACAAGCGCTAAAGTGGCGTTTGGCTAAAGGCACTGATAACCTTAAATATTGATCTGTCATAATACTGCATGTTTAAGAAAAAGAAAAGAAAAAATAACTTTATTTGACGCCAAAAAACAAGAGCCATGTACAAACAAGTCATTCTATTAGTAGGACGGATACATGTTCATGTCCCAAGTCTGCCGCGAAATGTGACCAGTTCAGCATGTGCAAGACAGGGCCTTGCGCTGGTTTTTTTTATAGCATAAGCCGGTAAACGAGCAGACGGATCACCTGATGGTAAGCAATCGGCGTCGCCCATGGACACCTGGAACACCAGAGGCGTTACAAGTGCGTTACCGGCCTTTTGGGGATTAAGAGTTTGATGATCGTCGGGGATTCAGGAATTGGGGAAGGGGATGGTAATTGGGCCTCCGGTAACCTCACTCACACGACGAAACACAACGCAAGCGTTGCTTCACGTCGGTTTTCTGTAAGGCCGTGGTATCACTCCGGTCGAACCGGCCCATTCGTGCCGAAGCAAGGCTCTCCCACACTTGAAATAGTATATTGTTTGTTACCCTTGTTGCATAGTAAAACTACAAAAACTGACTACAAAATTGTATTCCTTCCATCCTCAGATGCTAGTCCGTCGCGTCCGCCTCCGTCTAGCGGAGATATACACGGGACTGGGCGACAACGAGGCGGCCGCCAGGCAACGTCGCGCTGCCGCAGCCTGGGCCGCGCCCGCCTGCGCTCGGTGTCGGGAGCCCTTGGCGGAGCGAGCTGAGCCACTAGCGTCACTGCCTTGCGCCCATATCGTGCATCATGCGTGAGTATATAATGGGTTTTGGTCATCTACAATAGGTTCTGACATTATAATGTATATTGACAACAACATTGAAAACAACATTCTAAGTAGTTCTCACAATTTTCGTATCAAATATTTCGTTCCAGTTGCATGCCAGAGTCGTGGTCCCGTCGCTCGACCCGCAGTCAGTCGGGTGCGGGCGTGGAGTGCGCGGAGTGCGCGTCCCCCCGCGCCCCTCGCGCTCCACCCCCTGCTCCCCCCGCGCCGCGGACACTGCCTACCCAGGTACCGTATTTATTTTTAAGGGACAAATTCGTAAAACTGCTGCTACTCCTGCATACAACACCGGAACAATGAAGTCCAGCTCATCACAAGAGTCATCACCAACTGCCTTGGTTTCCGCAACGAAATAAATCTGAGTCAAGTTTAATACGTTTTTATAGGTTAGATGGGCAAATGAGCAGACAGATCATTTTGATGGTAAGCAATTGCTACCTACAATAGTCACCCGCAATAGAAGAGAAGATAGGAGTATGTTAATGGCCTTTTGGAAATATGGCTCCAAATACGACTCCCTCATACGGCTTAACACAACGCTTCAGTTGTTTGATATTACACTGTAAGGGCGTGGTATTACAATTCCGCTCGAACCAGCCCATTGGTACCGAAGCCCGACTCTCACGAATTGTTTTTTTATGGGATAAGCCGGTAATCGAGCGGTCCCCTGATGGTAAGCAATCGGCGTCGCCCATGGACACCCGGAACATAAGAGGCGTTACAAGTGCGTTATCAGCCTATTGGGATTAGAAATTTGAGGATTGTTGGAGATTCAGGGTTTGGGGAAGGGGGGGTAATTGGGCCTGCTGTAACCTCACTCACACGACAAAACGAATAAACTGTCTATTATAAGTTTTTGATAGATAATTACAGACTACCGACTTTAGTCAATATTAAAAAATTGTTCTCATTTTACATAAATACGCTTCAATTTTCAGGACTTCCCGTTCGGTACACCGCCAACGCTCCGCGAATCAGACCTGAACTCCATCATATCTGACCATAGCAGTCAACAGGCCACTTCCAGCGTTTAATTACTTATTTATTTATTTGACAACTGACATTAATGACAGGTATTACTAAAACTATCGTAGATGGCAGCACTGTAGCTTATGTCTTGTACGACCATTTTTATTTTGTCATTTATTAATTTTTTGTTTGATTTTTTTTTAGCTTTTTTAACGTATTTAACGAGTAAGCTACAGTAATGCGATTTATATTATTTTGTTTAATTACTTATAGAAATTGAAATTATTTGCTTATAATCTGTTTATTATTACAGGATAATAATTATTATGTTAATAATTATACTAAGTTTGACTTTCATGGTTAAACCTTAACATGTTAAAGTTGCAATTTCTAAAATAATTTACTGTACGTGTTACCAAATACTATTAATTATTAATAATTATGATTACTATTATATTGAATTTAATACCTATGACCATCACGCTCGCTATGCGCAGCGGTATGAATAGGTGTTGTCGTTTTCGGTGCAATAAAATATATTGATGTCTAAAGATTATATTGTGGTGTAAAATTCTAATTTATATATTATTGTGAATATAGTGGTTTTCATATGTGGTTACTATGTATATTATTATAGTGTAAACATTGATATAACAAAGCTAAAAATTTAACTAGGCAATATAACATCACGCCCTTTATCCCTGACAGGGTAAGCAGGGGTACACATTACGGCACTTAATGCCACTGTACAATGTAACACCCACTTTCACTATTTATGTTATGAGTCCCATGTAATACGGGGTGAGCCTATTTATACCGGGCACAATTTCAGACTCCATGCTATAGAACCCGAGACCCCTTCTGGCAGGCGCACTTGTGTTTTGACTCGATAAAAGAAAAGTTTTGAAATCCCCTGAAGAAGTCTAAAAAATATGATAACATAAGTGAAACTACTGCTTGCTTATGTAAGTTAGGATGTCAATAAAATCATAAAACCTAGTTTTCCAAAATATCCTAATTATTTGTCAGTTAACTGTCTGACGTGTGACAGACTGTCATATAGTCGCAATTGCACTAGCGTGAAAGAATGAAAATTACATTTTGTGAAAGTATTTTGTGAAAGTTATTAAGATATTCGGTTTACAAACACTAATGAACACACTATAGATGCATTAACCTTACCCTTACCCTTTGAGTACCGTCATTATAGACACAATTAAACAACAATAAGTTGCGGTCAACGGAGTCATCGCGTCGCGTCATGTTTGACAGTTTAAAGTAATATGATGTCCAGTGTCGCCCTCTGCTAAGTGAGAATCATAACATAACTGTCAAAATGGTAACATAGTATGAACAAATATTTTCTAGCTTTGTTATATCAAAGTTACATTAAATTTATATCACGCGAGCAATAAAGAAAATATTTTTTGCTTATCTATTAATTAAAAATAAAATAAACCACATTGTAAAACCACGAATTGATGTGTATTGTAAAAATATTAATATTTTGAATGGAATTAACTATTGGAACGTTTAAAATGGAATATATGAGTGTTTTCTTACTTGTTTTAAAGTAGAAATAATGTATAGATACACTTGTTTTTAATATTTTAGGCAATATTTGATCGTAGCGCCATCTACCGTCTTTTATGACAGAGAAGAACTAAATGAAATGATGGCAATGCAAATGGGTTGTTTGCGACGGAATTTTTGCTAAATTAATCGTGATTGATTGAGCAAATGTGAAGTTCACCAAAATCGATTAAGCAGTTTAGGTGTTGCTGCGTAACAAACATACAAAGTAATCAAATTTTCCTTTAAAACAAGTAAGAAAAAAGTGAACAAATATGAAAAACAAAAGGAACGAATGTCCATATCCCTATATTAATAATAAATAATAAATAAAAATAACTATTATTATGTAATAATACTTGTAAAGTTTGAGTCTGTATGTTTAAGTAAGGGAATCGTCGTTGTGATGAAACTTTAGTAAGACTTTAAAAATATAATCAAAAAAGCAATTTTTGTTCATTGAGCTGTAAAAAGTAAAAAATGTGAATTGGGCAAAGTGAGTAGGTATATCGATTTTTATTAACAACATTCCCATTAATGGCTCTTTAAGTTTCAAAAATGATTACAGCTGAAGTCTGTTACTAAGTTATTCATATATATGAATACCTAAAGAACCTAATTATAAAAGGAGAAAATTTAAAATTACAGTTCACAAATGACTTAATGACAGATTTTTAATCGTTATCTATGTCGAGACACCAATAAAATATTAGCCCGATTCTTAACATGGGAAACGTAATGGGTTAAAATGGACGTTACATTCTGATCTGTCTCTACCCATTCGAAGGGGAAGGATATGCACCCATGAAACTTTTATATCAGAGGTGGTTACACTTAATTTTTTATTAGGAAGTGAATGCCCGCTCTGTCATAAGTATACGCTTATTTAGGTTTTATTACACATCACTGAAAAGGACAGACTTGTGAGTGTAGCCATTGAATTATAGTCACAGAGAACCTAACGGGTAACCGGGGCCCCGGCTCGACGTGCAGGAGAAGGAACGGGGTGGTTTTTAGTCAGTAAGAGTCTGACACTCCCTTCCGCCTCACCCAGGCGGGAGCAGTCATTCGATGATTTTCCCCCCTTAAAAAAAAAAAGCCATTGAATTATACAGCATGAAAAACTGGAATACTAGCCTCATCTACTTAAGAGGATTTGTCGGGATGAATGACGCTTGGCAACTACCATCAGTACTCTACTACTCTGTAGTCACTACATCGTACCCCCGGTGCTATAACGTCACTTATGTATTGCGGGGGCCCGCGCGCAACTGAACAATGAAACGTTATTTCTCCTTGTGCCTTCCAGATTAGCGCCAAAACCGTAACGACAGCAATGCCCTCACAATGACAGTTTGTGTAATACACAAATGACAATAACGCACCAAGTAAAGAGGTGAATTTGCAGGATTACCTAGTCCATTTCACCACCGTACCACCAGACGAACGGCGGGACGCCACCCTTATATGGTGGACATTCCACCCATTTGAACGAAGCGTTTCGCGTCAAGCTTCCTCATGCGAACCGCTAAGGAATGGAATTCCTTGCCAGAGGCTGTGTTTCCCGTCAAATATGACTTGGGGGTCTTCAAGTCCCGAGTGAACAGGTTGCTCATAGGTAGGCGTGCTCCATCGTCGGCCACATCATCCCTTACCATCAGGAGAGATGGTGGTCACCTATAAAGTGTAAAAAAAAGGATTATTTCATAATCAGTTAACTTTTGACAAAAATTGCATAAGTAACGATATTGCATCGTAGTCACTACCTACATGACATGTCTCTTAGTTTGACCTCCTGACTGTCAGTATATAAGGCACAATAGAAAATATATTCTGTCTCGCGTTGATCTACGTTTCGACATACCACGGGTTAAAGGAAATTCAATGTTTACGCTCATAGGCATAGCTTCAGTAAGAAACACGTTTAATATATATGTTACCGGCCAAACCCGATTTCAGGAAAAACTAGTTTTGCCTAGGCTAAACTAGTTCTTCCTATACGCGTTAGGATGAACTAGTATAGCCTAGTTGTAGTAGTACTGAGATTTTGTTTTTAAAAACCTAGTAAGTAATACTATGCCCGATCCGGGAATCGAACCCGAGACCCCTTACCCGGCAGTCGCATTTGCTACCACTTGGCTAACGAGGCAGTCACCCTGTTTTTTAATAAACGCAATAATCATCCTATGACTACGCCATACCAGTTTATCCTAGAATGTGCGTATTTATATCAGGATCAACTAGTTTGTCCTAGCCTAAACTGGTTTATCCTATCGGGCTTAGGACAAATTAGTTTGAACTAGGCTATACTAGTTAATCCTAATGCGTATAGGAAGAACTAGTTTGGCCTAGGCAAAACTAGTTTGTCCTGAAATCGGGTTTGGCCGGTAACATATATACAAGGTGTTGTTTTAAAGCCGCGTCATGTTCTAGGAGGTAACTCGACAATTGATTCTGAGTCCGAAACAACAAAAAAAAATTGTTGGTAAATATTTTTCATTTTTCTGTAAATTATGAAAATCCGTAAGTGCGAACTACACGCCGCCGTCTTGTAACTAGTTTTATAACGCGGCTTAATAACCACAAACTCAAACACGTAATTGATATTATTCCTAATTCCATAAAACTCCAATAAGAACCATAGCTGTCGCTTATTCTGAAACACTGTCGAACTTAACAATTTGTTATAGCCGTATTTTTAACTATTGGCCCGAAACTTTTACTTATATTGAACTTTTATGACTTCTGTGACATGCCCCCGAGAAATGACACGGTTTTAAAATTACACCTTGTATATAACCTTTATGTTAAATTGTAAACATTGTTAGATTTTAAATAATCGCGTAGGTCATAATCTAACGATGTTCACAGTTTTACGCGAATATAACCATTATTTACTGTGTATTTAGGACTGAGAATCCTTTAAAAATACGCTTTATTAATATGAATGAAAAAAGTCATTTGTTTTTGTAAAATTGATGAGGATTTTCATTTTTGCGCTTCCTAGATGGCGATAGTGAGTTATAAAGTGTTTTCGGGGTTCAAGTCCACAAGTTGACTAATATTTTAAAAAGGACTAATAGACTTTAAGCTCCACTAGCGCCCCTAGCGGCGCAGGAATCCTCATTTGGACGAGTTTAAGTCGACTTGTATATAAGATATTTTTTTAGATTCACTCTACTCTGTTTCTGACATTGAAATCAGTGTTGTGATTATCGTATATATATTTTGGAGCAATAAATAATTTTAAATTATAGCTATTACGTAAGTATTGTGTTTAAATTGAAACATCGCTATTTTGTTTGAGTCGGAATATTTTTTCTACTATATCAATTAAGTATACCATCTTAGTCCATCTATTTGTTACAACTAAATAATAAAAAATGGAACAGCTATCTGTTTTTATAAACCCATCTCACATAAGTTTATAGCGATGGGAAAGATACGATGAAGATTTAAAAATGTGTTTTTATAATAACTATCGTGAGATATA